AGAGATTTTGTTTCAAAGGGAAATTGGTGATATTTTTAAGGATGAAACCTAGATTATTGTCTGGTGTGCATATATGTGTGCATGCGTGTATGCACACACATGCATACACACATGCACGCGCACACACATTTTCATGTACACCCGCATATATGTGCACCTGTACACATGAATGTGTACATGTGTATGCATAAAAAGAAAGAGGAATGTTGAATTTTAAACATAGTTATAGGTTATGGGTGAGCATAAGCCTCAAGGTTATGTCTATACTGTTTTTCTTTTCAGTTTTTCTAGACAGGGTTTCACTGTTTAGCTCTGGCTGTCCTAGACCTTGCACTGTTGACCAGGCTGGCCTCAAACTCACAAAGATCCACCTGCCTCTGCCTCCTGAGTGCTGGGATTAAAGATGTGCACCACCACTACCTGGCAAGGGTAGGTATACTCTTTATTTTATTTATGTATTTTGGAAGGCAGGGTCTCACTATGTATCCATGGCTGTCCTGGAACTCACAGAGATCCTTCTGCCTCTGCCTCCAGACTGTTGGGGTTAAACACATGCACCACCTCACCTGTTCTGTTTATTTATTTTTAAAAGCCACTCTCCCTTGTTCTCCTTTTTCATGCTAAGCTTCCTTTTGCTATTTGATTTATGCTTTTAGATAAATTAAGTTACACAGTGCCCCAATCATCTTATGATACCACCCTTTGATTGGATTTGGGATATTTAAGAACAGAACATGAAAGTGTCAATTTAGTAAACACAAGATATATATATTTTTTTGTGCACTGGACTTGTTGGAGGTTGAGCAGATATGTTTTTACTTTTTGGGTGTTTTCCTTCCTGGTTTATTCCACTGATCTGTCTTGAGTTAGAAATTGTCCCTCTAATCCCAATAGATAGTTTTATTGCTACGAGTCACCTTAATATTTAAGTCACTTCTGAGGGATGCATGTTGTTGTGTCTGACCTGCTTGTTGAATAAACAGAGGTGTGGCAATAAGTGGGTAGTGGCTGGGGAGAAGTCGGGGGTTAAAGTAGAGGATTGAGCCGGGGATTTATTAACAGCCTGACCAAGGTTCACTGTGTACATTGATGGGCTTTGTTTCCAATGATTCAAAAATAGTCTTTAGTATCCTTTTGTGGCCAAAGTATGAATTTCAAACCCATAGGAGCTGCAAGGGGTTTTTCATGGTCTCTTAAGAGTGTGATGAGGGCAAATAGGATCAGAGGGTACACCTTCACCAGGACCCCAATTTCTCCTCTTTCTCATCCTCTTCCTTCCTTTACCCCAGCTTCTCCTCTTTCTTTCCTTCCTCTCTTTATTCTTATTGATGTGTGTTTGCATGTGCACACACACACACGTGTGCATGCAGTGGCTAGAGGAGGACATTGAACTTTATCTCTTACACTCCCCACTTTATTTCTTTGAGTCAGGGTCTTTCACTGAATCTGGAGCTCACCGTTTTTATTGAGGCAGGAGATTCTTGTCTCCCTCCCTCTCAGCATGTCCCAGAGATCTCTTGTCTTCTGTCCCTCTGACCTTACACCTTGAGGTTTCAGATAGTGTAGCTCAACCACCTTTAGACATGAGTGCTGAATCCGAACTTGTTTGTGCATCAAGGGCTTTTTGGCAGTGTGACATCTCCTATCCCTGGTTATTGCTTTTGGGAGAGGGTCTCATGGAGCCTAAGCTAGTCTCAAACCCATTAATGTAGCTGAGTCTGGCCTTGAACTTTGAACCCTCCCACCTCCAGCTCCGGAGCACCTGAATCACCAGTGACTCCATCCATGGCTTTGCAGACTCCTTGTCACACTCTTCCTCTGTCCAGAGGAAGAGCACCAGGGAGGACAAGACATTAACTGGTACCCTTGTTTTTTGTCCCACATTCTTAAGGCAGTTTTGGAAGAGGTCAGGGATGTGGTAATACATCTCCCAGTTCTAGGCATATTCAGTCATTAACTATATATCCTTTAGGGTACACTATTTTATACACCTGCTCCCCACCCAGCACCTAGAACAGATCTTAACATCTATTTCACTTGACAAGGGATTTTTTTTTTTAAACCAAAAGAAGCCTTTCTACGCAATGAACAAAAACTTAATCTTTCCTTCTAGGAGTTATATTAAAAAATTCAAGATGTTTTTTATTTATTTTTTTAAAGTGAAGAGATTATAATAAATGGATCACAGACCTGAAAATATATCATGTGTGAAAGATACAGGTTGGACTTCAGTAATAATTTAGATGGTAAATTAATAAAGTAATAAAATTGATCTAAGTCCACAAGGGGAAGTCAATGTAAGGCATATGTAGGAAATCAGAAAACGTATGCATCATGAATTTTGTCCCAAAATTAATGATAGCTATAGCAAACATTGATTAAACATTAAATTACCCACACTTTCGCTTATCTCCTTGGGAGTGATTTAATGCTCTGGGTTTTAAAAGCGACAATCCAATGGGGTTTCAATCCATGTTTTCTTTCTCCGGGGCTGTAAATTTCCAAGTGGAAGACAGGCACCATTGACCTTTGTCACAGATCTTAAAATAGCAGGTGTTTCAAAACAAGCATTGTTATTGATTATAGGACTTCCTCCAAAATTGTTTTCTAAAATGAGGCTGATCATTCCATTTACAATTACACGAAAATATGAAATACCTGGGAGTAACCTTGGAAGAACTGTCCCTGTCCAATCTGAGGAAGTCATAAAGCTTTACTAAGGAAAATGAGAAAATACTCTATGCTTTGTAGCAAATAGCTCCAAGACATGAATTTTATTAATTCTTTTTGAAATAAGTTAACAGAACCCCATTGCATGCTTAAGATATTTTGTGAACTTAATAAAATGGGTGTGGTATAAAAACAGAGACTGCCCCTTCCTCCTCCCCCATCTTTGACCAAGAGTCACGATGGCTCAGCACTTGTTCTGCCATAGACTGCAGTGCATGGCGCCATCAACAGCCATTGCTACAGACCTGATAGGACAACCCAGAAATCAAGTGTGGGGAGCCTGTAGGGGAGTTGACCTCTTAGGCTCTGTTTGGTGGTGCAGCTCTCTTGAAAATGATATGGTAGCTCCTCCTTATTGGGGTTCCCCCACTAACATTCTTTAACCTAAACCTACAATACAAAACAAATATTCTCGCTTTCATAATGCCAGATATTTTCTTCCTCCCACTTAAAAAAATTAAGCGTAGAATTATTCTTCAATTTAGCACCTCCGCTGCTGGGCACATGCACATACTAATCGCACAGAGAGAATGGATAAACACCATATGGTACAGCTTTTAGCCTTTGCTGTGGGAGCACCTTCCACTCCTTCAGCACAGTGGGCTGGTATTTCAACGGCTATTGGCTGAAGGAGCGGCAGGTGCTCTGCTGCACAGTTCTCCTGCCGTGAAGCACACACCTCTAATCCCAGATAGCATAGAAACCTAAACAGGATTCTCCTTCTTATTTAGCTTCTCTGGGATCATGAATTATAGGCTCAATGTCCTTTATTTATGGCTAGAAACCAAATATGAGTGAGTACATCCTATGTTCCTCTTTTTGGGTCTGGCTTACCTCACTCAGGATAGTGTTTTCTATTTCCATCCATTTGCATGCAAGTAAGAAAAACATATAGGCATCCTCCTGAATATTAACCTTCATCAGGCGATGAAAGGAGACAGAGACAGAGA